GCTGCAGACTGAAGTTAGCCATACAGAGGGAGAAAGAGAGCAGGCATACAGCAAGGCAACAATGGAAAAGAGGGAAGTAGCTGGAACAACAAATTTGGTACTTTTTGTTTTGGTGGTACTGGGGTTTGAACCTGGTGCTGTGCACTTACCAGGCAAATACTCTACCTCTTGAGCCATGCTAGGTTTTTCTTTTTGTTTTTTGCTTTTTGGGTGTGTTTTGCATAGGGTTTTACATTTATGCCTGGGTTAGGTTGGTTAGGTATTCTCTCATCTGTTTCCTATGTATCTGAAATCACCCACAACTTTTTATTGAATGGAGTCTTCAGAACTTTTTGCCTGGGCTGGACTTGAACTGTGATCCTCCCAATTTCTGCCTCCTGAGCAGCTAGAATTGCAAAGATGAGTCACCATGCCTGGCCATATGGAACCATTTCTGACAAAACTATTACCTAGTGTTATCTAGCCATTACCACATGCTGAGTATGTCTATAGCATGCTACTTGCATTCACTGGTTGAATTCTCACATTCTCAGGAGAAGGTCCACATTATCAGTACTCCCACTTAACAGACGAAGAGACCTGAGGCCCAGAGGGGTTAAATAACATGTAGAAGATCACACACAGCTATCTTCTGGCTCTGTTTTTCACCTCTAGTTTACCACAGAGACGAGAATATATCTAGAAATGAGTTCAGTCGCAGCTGGTTGCCTTGCTTGGACTTTGATCTTCTGAGCAAATTCTTCTTAGGTAGCTCTATGCTTTCACCCATGGATAGATGACTGTTCTAATCTCCCTTCATCTCTTCATCCCTGGGGCAGAGTGCTGGGTGAATCTTAAAGATCTGGAGGCTTACCAAAAGCTTTGTATTCCTGGGGCAACTGCAGAACGGTTAAATACACATTTGTACCTTTGACTGTAATAACAAGCTAATCTTCTGATGGGTTTGGAGAGATAATTTTGGGGGTGTCAGTTCTCTGTTGGCCTCTACAAGAAGAGATCAAGCCCTTGGCTTTGTACCAGAAATAATGTAACCACTGCCCTTATCTCCAGGCCTTTGTGTGTTATTCTTGTAAAAAAATAATAAAGTTCTCTTGAGAGACAGGGACAGAAGGTAAGCATTGTGTGTTGGAATTTGTGTCTTGGTTGAAGTCTCCTTGAATCATGTTAACTGTGTTAGTTCGCTAGTCACTGCAGCAGCCATGGCCTTGGGTGTGGGCTGCAGGTGGAGAGCGCTGACTGGAAGGGTGGCTGGTGATAGTTCTCTGGCATTGGCTGGGCTGATAAGAAAGGAATTTGACTGTCCTGAGGGAGTTTCTGGTCCCACTGATTTGTCCTTGCCTCTGTGTCCCCAGTTCCTGGCACTGGAGGATTCTGATTTAACTCCGTAATACTCCATGGTGGCTTGGCAGGGATGGTAGCCGTGAGGGCTTCAACACCCTGGTCATGGTCGTCAGGGTCATGGGGAACAAGGACCATCTGTCCATTTAGGGAGATTTCCTTCCTAGGCATTGGCTTATGTAGCTATAGAAAGGGGTAAATGGGGCGGGCCCACAGGCTGGAGATTCAGGTACAAACCAGTGTTACAATCTTGAGTTTGCAGGGAGGGCTGAAAGTTGCAAATGCAGGTTTTGCTGGTTTAATGCAGTGAGTACTTTGTGTCCCTCCTAGAGTCTAGCCCAGAACACTTGTCTGAGAGAAGGCAACAGGTACAGATTCTGAGGTCAGACTCTATGTTGAGTCACACTGATGCAGTGTGATTTCAGCTATGTTGCACAACCCTTTTGAGCCTCAGTTTCTAGTCTTTAAAATGGCCACAGTGTTACCCATTGCAGGAATTTTGTGAAGACTCAATCTGAATAAAGTATTTAGAATCTGAACTCACACAATCAGCATTCCAAAAATGTTAACAATTCTTATTTTTTCTGAACTCATACGGACAGGGTGTTCAGTTACAGGAGGGAAGTAAGTACACCATGATTGATTATTCTCTGAAAGTTTTATAACCCCAAAATAGAAGAAAAAGGCATATTTACTGGAAAGGTTTAGGTTGTTTTTAGATAAGTAATATGTTTATTCTCCTCAAAGAAGCTGAAAGAATCAACAGAAAGATTCTAGAGTGAATAAATGTGGCAGGATGGACATTTGTAAAGGAAATGCATAAAAACAAAACTTTCTTTACTATTTCGCATTGGCTAGAAAAAAAATGAATGGATCAAGGCTATCAGATTTACAGGGAGTTTATCTAGTCTTCCTCAATACATACAATCATGTGCTTCTTAAGAATTTAAGAGTTATGTGTGTGTGAGAGTGGCAGATTTCCTGTAGTTTTTCTTGAGTTCCTCAGATAAACTTAATTTGTCCTGTTATATTATTTGCATATTGCTTAATTTTGCTTGCCTACTGGGATTTGAATTCAGGGCCAGACAGGTGCTCTACTATTTGAGCCATGCTTCCAGCTTTTTCTCCTTCCTTCCTTCCTTTCTTCCTTCCTTCCTTCCTTCCTTCCTTCCTTCTTCCTTCCTTCCTTCCTTCCTTCCTTCCTTCCTTCCTTCCTTCCTTCCTTCCTTCCTTCCTTCCTTCCTTCCTTCCTTCCTTCCTTCCTTCCTTCCTTCCTTCCTTTTGCTTTTGTTAGCTTTTGAATAGGGCCTCAAATCTTTGCTTCAGCCTGCATGTACTGTGATCCTCCTATTTACACTTTCTACATAGCTGAGGTGACAGGTGCATGCCAGCATACCCAGATTTTTTTTTTTAAATTTCAATAAATTGATTGAGATGGAATCTTGTAAACCTTTGCTCAGACCAGCCTCAAAACACAAGCTCAGTATAGGGAGGCTGCTGTGACTTCCTAAGGGATACCATCTTCAGTTTATTCAGGAGCCTAGAATTTCAGCACAATTGCCCTATATGTCTCAAGCTGCACTGGAGAATTCTAAGGGGAAATGAGTACTTATTCAGAATGCAGCCTTGCTGTTCTTTGAAGGGACAAGTAATGGGACCAGTGGGCTTTTTCTGAAATCCTTCAGTACTTGGGATGTCTTGTGCTTGCCCTTCTGGGCTCCATAGCACACATGTTCTCTACCATTTATTTGACATGTACTGTTGATGACTTACAACTGAGGATGATGAGTTTTACAGAAAACTGAGGGTGGAAGACTAGGATTTACTGTTTCTAATGGTGTCAGTCTAGCCATGTCAGGTTCTCTGCTTTTGGGTTTCCCCTCCTTTGCTCTGAGGGGAGCCCATGTGCTTGATGGCTGCTACCTGTCCTAGGGGGCCGTTCTGTCTTGGCAGATCTAACAAAAGACATAATGCAGTGTGTGTGTGTGTGTGTGTGTGTGTGTGTGTGTGTGTGTGTGTGTGTGTGTGAGAGAGAGAGAGAGAGAGAGAGAGAGAGAGAGAGAGTGAATAAAATCTTGTAGAGATCTGTAGAAATTGCGAGTTTCTATAAATGAGTCGTGTTGTCTTTTTGTTGAACTTTCCCTTTCTCCCTCCCTTTCCTGTTCCCTTCCTTTTTACAGTTCTGGGGTTGAGCCCTCATGAGTCCCAGGTAGCCTCCATACCACTTACGTGTATCCTCAGTGGTATTTTGCTCAGTTTGGTCTCTCAGACTTACAATCTTCTTGCTTCCCAAGTTGCTGGGTTAATGGTATACACTACCATACCCAACTTTAAGTTGTTTTGAGACTAATACCCAACACATGGAACATGTGAAACAATCAAGTAAACTAATCAGGGCAGAGGGCAGGGCTCCCAATAATTTGAAGGGTATCTGAGTGAAAATTCTTTACGGACAAGCGGCTGCTGGGCCAGAGGATACTGAATTCAATGTAACCGATTTCCTCCTTTGTTTAAATGAATAATAAATTATGTCCGTATCTGGTTTCAAGAATTAAAAAAAAATATATATATATAATGGGTGCAGTCACTACCATGAATTTAGAACTACTGTATTTTTGTTGTTTTTGTTGATTGTGGGGCTTGAACTCTGGGCCTGGGCGCTGCCCCTCAGCTCTTCAGCTCATGGCAAGCGCTCTAACACTTGAGCCAAAGCATCACTTCCAGAACTACTTATTCACAATGTGCGTGGGTGAGTTCTATGTTCCCCTCCTCCTAATACTAGGAAGCCAGAAGACATTGACAGGATCTATTACAAATTAGCCCTGACAGGGAAGAGAAGGATAAGAAGAAAACTGAAGCACTGTGATCCACTGTGCTGCCTCAGTGTCACCCCTTTCAACCTTCTCCACTCATCCCTCCCCTCCCCACTCCTCTCTGTTTAATTTGGTAGGGTATGCATTGGCTTCTTGACTGCATTCTCCTTTTCTTCTCCTCTTCATTTGTTCCCCCCCCACCCCCGACTCCTTTTGAGTATCCACTTCCTGGTCATTCATTTTGCTGAACTTGGAATCTACCATATTTCAGTTAATCCATTTGTATATACTTGCATATCACCTAATGTATTTACCGGTAAGTGCATAAGCTAAATAGAAGTGTTTTCTGGTACACTTCCATCTTCCTGGAACAGTGTAAGAGGAAAGCCATAACAGCCTTGAATTCATACACTGGGCAGAATGTCCTGATGTTCTTTTTCCCTTGATATGTAAAGAAAAAATAGCCATGGGAATGATCAAATAAGACTATGTTTTTACATTCTGAGAATTTCACTTCGTGAGCCCAGATTAAAACAGTTTCCCAACTTGGTCAAGCCTAACTACGTACAGAGTCTGTGAATGGAATGAACTGATGGAACATGGCGGTAAAATGCATGTGCTTAAGCCACCAAGGCCCAACTTTCTTATTTGGTTTCCCTGGAGCCCTGTGATGTCTGCCACATGTCCTGTTTCAGGATAGAGTCTTATTCAGTGTAGCTTTGCTTGTAGTTCTGCTTATCAAGAACCTCTTTTAGGTGATGTATACCAAAACTTTCAAGCTGATTTGACAACATAGGGGTATCTCCACTGATGCCCTGACACCAGGTGTTTTCTTTCCTCTCTCCCTAGGCGTGGCAGGAAGCACAGCATCATCCTTCGGACACAGCTGTCAGTGAGGGTCCATGCCTGCATTGGTGAGTGACCTTAGCTTCTGTACTTGGTGATCAAATATGATGAACAGTATTCCCCTTATTAAGCACTGTATAGTCATGTGACTGCTTAGGTTAGCTCCTCTCTTGGATTCCTGATTTCTAATGGAGCCATTCCTAATAATAAATCTTAGAGCCCTGTTTCTAGCCTGGCTTTCTTTGCTCTTGAGGTGGTGGCCAGAGGTCAAGGTAAGACAGATTGTTCATGAACTTCTTTCTGGCAGTGCTGGAAGAGGTGAGATTCTTCCTGGGCTGTTGCCAATGTGAGGCTTTAGCCTATGGGAGTGTCTCTTCATGGATGTGGCTCTGTGAAGATTGCTTAGGGGAAGGAGAGTCTAGGGCCCCAGATGTGGTCAGATGATTGGAAGGAAATCATGATAGTGGAGGATGGGATGAAGTAAGCAAGTATATTTGTGGTTCAGAATGGCTTGCTTGCTGTCACTCAAGAATGCCATGGGGTCCATTTCTACAGATGTTGATTTTCCAAGATCTTTTGTTTTCCCTGTATTTAGACAAAGTTCAATGGAGGGAAACCAATTACTTAGACTAAATAGGCAAACCAAGATGAATGGTCTTTATCATTGTGGTCTACTTTCCTTATGGGGTTGGGCTAAATTGAAGCAAAGAATGCAGTATCATAAATCTGAGTAATTTTACTTTTATTTACTATTTGCTGTGGTTTTCTGGACTCTAAGGAGGAGAATATGTCACCCTGCTGAGTCCCAGACCACACTTGGAGTGGAGTATTCATGGGTGGAATGGTCCCTCCTCCATTTTTTTTTTTTATTGGAGACCAGGAACACAGCAGGGAGCAGCTGGATATGAGTAGGAATCTGTGTCCTTTCATTTGGGGTAAAATGTGATGAGTCTGCAAACACCTAAGTGACAGCATTTGTCTCTGTGGCCACAGAGAGATTGTGTAGGTTACTTGTTACTCTTGCAAGTGAGATGTTGGGAGTTGTAAAGATTTGAGCATAGTAATGTCTGTAGGAACAACAGCCAACATGGACAATTCTGCTTTTTTTTTTTTCTCTTGTTGGTTGTGGGGCTTGAGCTCTGGGCCTGGATGTTGTCCCTGAGCTCTTCAGCTCAAGGTGAGTGCTCGACCACTTGAGCCACAGCACCACTTCTGGTTTTGTGGTGGTTTATTGGTGATCAGAGTCCTGGACTTTCCTGTCCAGGATGGCTTTGAACTGTGATCCTCATATCTCAGCCTCCTGAATAGCTAGGATTACAGGCGTGAGCCACCAGTGCCCTGCTACCATTCTTTTTCATTTCCAGTTGTACTGATCAATGGTAAAACATACATGGATACTAGATTACTGAGTTGCTTTTTCTTTACCTGTTTTATTTTTTCCTAGTTATTTCATATGTATCAGGCATATTTCTACCTAAAGATAAAAGCCTGTCACCTATCTTCTTTGGACAAACTTCCCTTGGCCCTTACCCCAAATTGGTAACAAACCTTAGCACTGCACAAAGGCTAGATACCGTGGAAGTTCAACATTGAATATACCTGACAGCTACTAGACATTTGGAATATGACTGCAGACTGGCATTCCTTAGGCATAGAGAGGCAATGAAAACTAGACCTATACATCAAAATCAGGATGAACTAATTCCTTTGAAGGAAATATAATTTTTTATAGTACATACTTAAATATTTCAAGTAACAGGAACATTTCCACACAGCTATCACTCGGTTGACTTGCTGCATTAACGTCTGTATTCTTCAGCCCTGTGATTTTGATGTAAAACGTGGGTCTCTTCTTATGGTGTGAAGGGCCCAGACTCTGCTAGAGCACTTTTGCCTTCCTGTCTGGGGTTAAATCAGTTGCTGACACATGTGATCTGCTTGCTCTCTTCAATATCTTTCTTTCTGCCAATTATACTGGTCTTTGGAATTGTGTGACTTAAGGAAATAGAATCCCTCTCTCTGTATATATGTATACACATATATATATGGATATATCCATATCCATATATATATATATGCATACATGTGTATACACACATATAGGGCCTTGCACAAAGCTAGGCAAGCACTCTACCACTGATACCACTGATTTATATCCTTAGCCCTGAAATGGTACCTATCCATTTTACAAACCAATTAAATATGCAATATAAAAAGTTATGACTTTGAAAATTCATTGACTTTTTTGGAAGAGATTCAAAATTAGTCATCACAAAAGCATTTCTGTCAATATAGGTGAGTTATGACAGCTATAAAGAGCAGGGGCATGTTTTAAAAAAATCTAGGACTCTGTTGTTTACTAATGTTTTAGTTTTTGCTTGAAACTGAGACGGGAATCCATAGATCATGTTGTTCTAATAGTTCCTGAAAGAAGGTCCACACAGACTTCCAGTTAGCAGACTATCTCTTGAGGAACCATGTATGCCTCTGCATAGGTAAATCAGGGCATTTGGCCACCATAACTGGAAGTGAAAAGAAAGTTTTAAGGTGTGTATACATTGTTTTTGAAAGATTTTCTGCTTTCGTCAGTTTTTACCCACAACGATCTTAGCTTGAATATGTCCAGCAGAGAAGCTATGATTGTATATATTAACAGTAATACCCCAGACAGAAGATGTTCCTTTGTACTAAAGACACTTTTACCCATGGAATTTTCTACTATTGGCAAGATCTGAAATAGATTTGTTAAGATAGCACTATAAAAAGTATCCTTTGGTAACATATAGAAAGTGTAATGTGTACATCAGCTTGTGAGGTACTGCCATCCATTGTGACATATTTCTCTTTCCAGTATTAGATGGCAATATTAGATAGGATTTGTTCGCTATAAACAAAACAAAACCAGAAACAATTTACAGTTGAAATGATAAAGGAAATATAATAAGAGAAAAAAGCCTTTTACATCTATTGAGCCCCTTATTTCATTTCAAGATTGCATTTCCTCTGTTTACCATATAAGACCTAGGTGGGCTTAGTATCACATGCAGTGCCCCAGAGATCTCCTTTCCACCCCTGATTGCTCAGGAAGGATCCAGAATCAGCTTTTGTCTCATGAGTCTAAAGTGCTAGCAAGTCATTTTCTCCACAATAATCTTTGGTTCGCTTTACTTTCTTTTCCCTTGCATTCCTGTTCTTATTGTATAGAAATGTTTGGGATCCAGGACTGGATGCTGATGAATTGGAGGTGACATGCTTTTGGAATTCTCCAGTGTTAACTTTGGAACCCTGCACCCGTTGGGAGGAGAGTAGAGCGGTCTTCCTGGTTAAAGAACCCAGCAAAGCTCTAGAGAAAGGAAGACCACGGGGGCTCTGCTTTGATGGTTGCAGCCAGCAGCCAGACAGGTCTTTTTGATATCACAGCGGTTCTGACTCACTGGCAGGAGTTTGGAATTAGATGTTGGTAGAGAGAAGCTCCAGGCCTTTGTAGCTTTGTGTTCCTCTCAGCTGTGATTTTTTCTCTTTGCATGTTTTTATTATGAACACTTATTGTAGCAATCAATGGATTACCTTCTTAATGAGGTTTTGAATCCTTAAAGAAATGGAAGTATTGATGGTCCTCTTGGCTGTGAACTTCTAGATAAGAATTTTTAAAAAAATCCTTCAAAGGCATGAAAAAGACTGCATTTTACAAGTGTAGAACATACATTTTTTGATCTCCCCTCTAGCCCCAGTGATCTTATATTGACACCAGAAACATGTTCTAAGGGCCAGCTGGCTCTGATGACTAAATCCCATTGTGAAGTGAAAAGAAGCTAAAGAACTGTGGGATATTGGATAAAATCTAGGAGATGCTTTAAAAGGAAAAGTTGAAGTCATTAAAATCCTGAAACTTTCATGTGTTTTCAACTGGCTGACTTATCCACCTTTTTTTCTCTCACTTGTATTGAAGCTTGAACTTAGGGTTTGGGCACTGTCCCTTAGCTCTTTTTTAGTCAAGACTGGAACCCTACCACTTGAGCCACAGCTTCACTTGTAGCTTTTTGATAGTTAATTAGAGGTAAAAGTACACGACATTTTCTTGTCCTGGCTGGCTTAGAATTGAGACCCTCAACTCTCAGCCCTTTGAGGATCTGGGATTGAAGTCATGAGCCACTGGTATCTGGCTAGCACTTTTATTTGACTTAAAACATTTGTGCTTCATTTTGCTGAAGTCAGTCTTACCTTCCCACTAAGAAAATAAATCCTCTTGATTAATTCTCAGGGACCCAGAATGTCTGTGCTCGTGAAGATTCATCATTGAGTTAAAAGGGTAAAGTTTGAAGATATCCAATTATACTTCAGTTGTAAAGGAACAGCTTGTGGCAGGTGTTTAGGGGCATCATCCCAAAGCCTACATGGCAATGAGGTGGGTCCATGAAGATAGAAGATGAAGTAGATGGAGAGAAGCTAGCAAGGTGGTAGAAGTGACTCATTGCTGCATGATGTTGGTTTCATTACTCAAAAAGGTCAAGTCACAGGGCTAAAAACAACTTTCAAAGGAAAGAAGGACATGAGAGGTTGCTTCATCGATCAATGCAGTGACATAGCCAGTTCCCAGAACAGAGGCATCAGTTAGAAAGAAGCTTTGGGGTAATTTGAGAAGCATTTTCTTCTTGCAAGCTAAGTCATCCAGTTATGTGCTTTGCATTTTAGAATTGTTCGGGCCATGAGAGGAATTACAAATAGGGTTATCTCTGCAAGAAGATCCTTCAAGTGCAATAGTAACTGAAGAAGCTAATTTAGGGGAGAGATGGCTCCTGCGGGCCCACTATTGAGATCAGAATCCCTAGGCTGTGTGGTACCTTCATTAGTACTGGCTTTCATGGGTGGTGGTGGGGATGGTGTATATATGGTGCAAGATGGCATGTCAGGCTCAGATTAGGTGCATCTAGTGTCTGATCTATAGAACCTTAGGTTTCTGGATACAAGGGTAAAGAGTGTAAATGAAATCAGGTTTGTCCATCCAGTTCTCCCCTTCTGCTCTTGTTTCCAATCCATGTCTCAGGCTTGGACTTGAAGTAGATCTATG